CGAGCCGGCGGCGGCAGCGATGGCGCGCGCAGCCTGCGCCCGGCTGAGGCAGTGCAGGGCCCGGGCCCGCAGCACCGAGGTTTGGGAGCTTAGCCTCGCCGGCCCCCGCATTGAGCCGGATGCAGCCCCGAGCCGGGGCCTCAAGCTGCCAACTCGGGCTGTGGCGGTAAATGCGAGCAGGGGAGAAGCTAAGACTGCAGAGCGAGTTGCGGCTGCTTGGGGGAAAGGACAGAAGGGAGACAGGGGGGTGCACGGAGGACGCGGATGTGTGGGGTCAGGGAAGACCCTTGACTGCGGGGCTCCTCCTCTCCTGCCGCGGGCTCCGTGCCGCCGGCGTCCCCGCCGCCCCGCTCTGCTGCAGCAGCCCTTCTCGGCCCGGGCAGCCTTTCCGCTCCGAGCAACTCAGGTCTGGACTCTGAGGCGGATTAAGACTTTTTGGGGATGTTGCAGAGCTGATGAGATGAATCCAAGAGCGCTGCCCCCCGTGGCAGCAAAGGTAGAGCAAGCGATGTGGGTAAGCGCAGTATTTGGTACGGCACAGACAGCCTGAACAACTGCAGTGACTTAGTACCGTAGTCCTGACAGGGGGCCGGTTTAGTGCTAGAGAAGACACAGCAGGTTATCCCCAAAGTCCCCTGCAGTCGATTAACACAGGGGAGCCTTGCCAGTCTGGGTCCATGGCCCTCTGTCTGTCCCACCTCCAGCACACGCTTTATACAGCCAGGGATCCTCTCCTGCAGCGATTCTCACCCAGGGGTCTTTGGCACCCTGCGGTGCTCCACAATGTTAGCGTTGTTAGGTGTGTAAACATGATTCACAAGAAAACCTAAGGATTTCAAATAAGAATCCACAGTGTTAAAGCTATTCTGCCCTGGTCTTTCTGAGTTCTTTGCAACAGAAGAATTTTGCTATTATTTTTCTGTGGTCAAAAAACAAGTGAAAATGAAGATCTGGCATTTTCCAAGGGGGGCCATGAGTCTAACAAGGTGTGTCCTGAAGGGGCGACCTGACGAGGGGTGCCTTGAGTGTAAAAAGGTGAAGAACCACTGCCCTAGCGTGAAGCATAACCCTAGGGGTCCGGTGTTCCCTAGTCCCTCAAACCCGTCATCTACAAGCTCTCCCAAATTCCTATTAGCTCCCACCCCAACAATGAAAAAAACAACAAAGGCCTCTCTCGCACATTCCCAGCCCCAAGGCCACTGAAGAGACCCTCTGATATTGCCCCCAAGCCCCAGCGGCCACCCTGTGGAGTAAGCAACAACACCAGCACAATGCATTTAAAACTCCTGAATCCAAGTTTTATTACTGTAGAGGAGAAAAGGGATCACTCACAACATCTTGTTCAAAAGAATTACATTCAACAGCATTTACAGTAGAATAACATTAAAATTTTCCAGTGGGGAAATAGAAAGACTAGGAGACAGTGCTCAGATTAAGTGTTGACACTAAATGACCTCTATAAGATATAGTAGTTTTTAAAATAAGCTCTCCTAAAAAATTGCTGTTTGGGGGCATGTTCCTAATCCTCCCCACGTAGTTCTGCTAATCTGTATAGTGTGTCTTTGTGTGAGGTTTCTATACAGATGAGTTTATTGTCAGTAAGTCAGAAAGGACCTCTCACTGTCTCAGAGTCCAACAAGGTTAAGCATTTAGATGCCAACACTTAAAAGGTAACATTTCACATTGCACTTCTCTTAGTTGCAAGAGCACTCAGATCCTGTCGTAGTGGCAGCAGAATTAGGAATCTCTTACCTTTGCAAGCTCTTGGATAACTCTTGGTGTGACAAAAGAAAAAAGGAAAAATAAGGCATTTTAAAGAGCTATACTTCTAGTCCATTTTATAAAACTGAATCAGGCCTTGAGTGGAAAAAACCCTGTTATTTTTACTGTTTTTATAAATCAAACTAATACTAGCATAAAAGAAGGTCTGGAACAGAGAATCTTCTGTTGTCCCACAGTTACATAAAAGTGTGCCTCAAAAGGAGTACATCCAAATGCCTCAGTGGTGGAATATGCAATCGACTGCCCAGCAGGCTAGATCCAATTGGCTGAATGTGATCAACGCAGCAGTTCAGAAAACTTACTTTACTGGGCCACAAACAAGCCACAAAGCCAGTGCACTTGGACCTGCTGACTGTGATCATCATATTGCCAGACTTTTCATAATTTTGAATATCTAACTTTTTAATCAGCTGGCTTACTGAGAGCTTTCTTTCAGGAACCCGAACTGTTTTGCTTTCTAGAACACAATGACCTTTCTAATTAAACACCTTTTGAACATGAAAGCATTCAGCTTGGGAGCAAAATGTTACTTCTCTATGTAAGCAATTATGCAATTACATTAACTCTTATTTCCCTGCCTTTAGAACAAACCTAATGAAATATACCATACTTCTACTACAAAAACTCAGACAGACACATCTGTCATCATTATTTTTCATCTATTACGTACCATATAAATTTAAGCAAAATAATTTTATATATATTTATATATATTTATATATATATAAATTAGAAGCAAATAAATAAGATTAAAGGGTACACTGAAATCAGTTGTGTTGCCACACTGATAGCCAATCACTAATGTTACATTGTACAAGTTTTATATATATTGTATACATACATATGTTGTCAATGACAGATAATGTGGGTGCTGAATGAGGGGAGGGCAAACTAGGAGGAGACTGATGGTTTCAGGAACCTGATTGCATAAGTGTCCCTTGTGCAGCCTGGGTTTTCCAGTTACCAATGCCTTGAAGTTCATTATTGCTTATTTTCTTCCCATGCGGATGTGACAGCCCTAGCTGTGTGGCCCTCGGGCCATGGGAATGCAGTAGTCACTGTGATATGACAGAGCCAGAGAAGACATCAGAGATTAACTCAAGCAAAGCAGAACCCTGTTTTCAGGTCTTCCTTGAACTTACAGGCAGATCCTTTCAGACCCAAGATGCTCTGTAAGGCCCATCAGCTTATAGTTTCTGACTCTCCACTCCAGTTTCTGGTAAACAACCCACGCAGAAGCAGCTCTGCTAAGGCATCCTGCATTTCAGTTACTGGAGAAGCCTACATGGAAGGTTTATGGCTGAGTGATTCACCTGCTCCTGTTGCTCATTCCTCACCTGCAAGTCTTGTTTATTCTTGGGCATGTCTACACATGCATTAATGTGCTGTGCTTATTGCACATTAAGTTTAGTACCTGTAATAACAGCTACTAACTCAGTGTGCAGTAACCAGAGCTACTACACAGTAGTGCCAGCACACGGTCTTTTAGTGACACTAATGCGCAGCAGACTAATTCTAATGCATGTTAGCGAATGAACACAGCTTTTGCTGTAATGTGCTAATGCGCAGTAGAATTAGTCTACTGTGCACTTAGCATCTTGTGTAGACACGCCCCTTCTGTGATATCTCTGGAGCTTTCAGTGCCACAGCAAGGTGACTACTTTAGTGAGGAATGAACAGCAGAAGTGGATGGAGCCCTCATGCTGTGTTCACACTCAGGGAAAGGAAGGGACAAAAAGCAGGAGATCTAGGAGATGAACTATTTCAGGACATACCATGGTCTGTCCCTGCTGGTAGTTCCATTGGCTTCAACCAACTAATGATGGGCGAGTTGAACCAGGAAGTTTGGCCTTCTTGCTTTAAATCTGCCTTGAGGGCTCAGCAGATGATTAAGAACATTCCCAATAATAATGGATTCCCCCTGAAAAGGTTTTACTTCACTGTTCTTGTATCACAATGGGGAGCAGGCCAGTATGCAGGGTAGGGAGTGAGCCAGTACATAAAGCCAAACCTGCTTTGTTTGGGGCTCTCATGCTAACCTGGGAAGCAATACTTTGGTCTTTGACTGAAAGTCCACTTGGGAGGGAATTTAGACAACCGACGTATCACATCAAGGTGGCAGAAAAATCAGAGGTTGGATTTCCCTGTTTGCTCCTCATCAGGGCCTTTTTAAGGTAATCTACGGTGAGGAAGCTATATGTCAGCAAGACCAATGCTACTCTGGGGACTAACTGCAAACAGTAATGAC